GATGATGATGAACGGATTTACAAATTATTCGAACATTGCAACAAACAGGCAAAAAGAAAATAAGACCAAAAACATAATAAAAAATAAAAATGAACAGTAGATTTTCTTTGAAATATGTATGCAAATATTTATCCATAATATTTTACATGGTTCCATCTCACATCATTCAGTATACACGGTCTACATGCCTAACAAAAGCAACCGCACCATAAATCAGCATTCGCCCACTTACCCCATTTCAGTGCATTGGTACGGTAAAGGAAAGCGAATAAAAGTAGCCGAGCTTTTTGACGACATGATTACCATATGAAAATATGTATGTATGAAAGTATATTTCTTTAGCATGCTATGTAGTTTTAATGGATAAAGTATCATTAGATTCGTATTATGTGTGGAAGAGAAGTAAGCTATACAATATATAAATGTTATATATATTTATATATATATATATATATATATATATATATATATATATATATAAATAATATATATAATATAAATTATTTATATATATATATAAATAATGGGAAGGAGGGGCAAGATTTTTTACGCAGTCGGATTTTTTTAAACCATTTATATTGTTGTTTAACTTGTAAAATGTTGCACTTGGTTGTAGCACAAATAAGGTAATGAAAGATCATGCGCTCAAAGAATACCAACATAAAATATAAGCTTAATGTTGCTGTTTCGTATCATAAAGAGTTGGAAACCCTTTTTACTGGTAACCAGTTATTTTATCTTATGCCTCAGGAGGTCAACGAATCTACATTTTGATTAATAATCGTGAAAAGATGTGTGCTCGTTGTTACCTCCATGAAAATATTTTAATACATACATACGTAAATACATTAACACTCATATTTGTCATCCAGATGGGTAGGCTGAAACTACATACTTCCATTTAGCACGATCCTGACACACCTCTCTCGCCTCCTCCACATCCATATATCTATGCAAAAGTGCTCGTCGTTTAAGGGTACTCGTAATTTGGACCAATTTTTATATATCACCAATTTGGTCGATAAGCTTTCACCTGAGATGTCCCTTTTCAACTCTGCCGTTCACTTCTGTGACATAAATTTTGCCTTTTAATACTTTCTTCATTCATTTTTTCTACATGACCAAACAACCAAAGCATACCTTTCTTAATCCTGGTCACAATGTCATCTCGCAAACCACACTCTTCTTTTATCACACAATTTCTCACCCTGTCACTAAGATTAAGCCCTAACATACTCCATGCACTCACAGAATACCAGCGTTAAATAGTAGCATAATGCTGCTGTGTTTCGTATGGTAAGTGTAGAGAACCGGAGACCCTTTTTACCGGAAACGAGGCATTCCATCTTAGTCCTCACGGGTGACAACGCATCTGAATATTGATTTGTAATCGAGGATAGATGTAAATGTCTATGGGCCGCAGCAACCACTTACCATCAGATGGACTATGTGCTCGTTTCTCACTCTATCCCATAAAAATAAAAATTTCGTGCTTCTTCTGCCACACCCAAATTTCACTACCATACGTTAAAGTAGGGACAGTATTGTGAATTGCCACACGTGCCTATTTTGACACATTCTGACTTTCCACAATGGAGCTTAGAGCCCTATTTACTTTATTTCCTGCGTTCACTCGTCGTTATATATTCTTATCATATCTCCTAAACATGCTAAATACTCATCCCAAATAAACAAACTTATCTACTTGCTCGACTAAATTTACATATATAGATATCCGTGGTTGATTAATAATAATAACGCCAATGAATTACATAGCTTCTGGTCTGGTATTTGGTCTATACCGGTTCACCACTACACTGAGGCAGAATAGCTGAAATCAGATTCCGAAATAACTGATTCTATCACACCAATGGCATTTGAACAAATACCTCTGGAAGTATTTGTGCATATATTAAAAAAAAACACATAGCTGGAAAACACCCGGAAGTGACCGTATACGTAACTACTGGTATAAGAAACTTTCAACAATTCACCCTCTACTTCACAACCATATCAATGAATTTTATACAAAAGCCAAACATAATGCCCCGATACATTACACAAGGCCTCACATACATGATTCCGAAAGACGCAGATCATCAAAATCCTGCCAAATTCAGACCTATCACATGTCTCCAAACTATTTATAAACTACTTACAGCATGTATAGCCGAACTCTTACATCAACATATAGCCACAAATAACATCCTTACTGAAGAACAAAAAGGATGTCGAAAAAGTAGTCAGGGATGTAAAGAACAACTCATAATAGACTCCGTAGCAATGTAACATGCTATTTCTAAAAGGAAGAACATCAATACAATGTATATTGACTACCGTAAAGCATTCGACTCCGTACCGCACAGCTGGCTCCTACATGTACTTCAACACTATAAAATTCACCCACAACTTATACATTTTCTTGAAAAATTAATGCAGCACTGGAGAACTACATTAAAAATCATAGGAACTGCTTGTATAGAAACATCAGAAATTCCAATACGTCGAGAAATCTTCCAATGGGATGCGATTAGCCCTGTATGGTTTTGTCTCGCATTAAACCCTCTTTCGCAAATGCTGAACAAAACCAATTGTGGTTACTCTATCATCACACCACTATAACACACCTGACGTACATGGATGACATAAAACTATACAGTAACACTACACAGTCATTGCATCGCCTCGCAGACATCACCCAATCTTTCTCAAACGACATTCATATGGAGTTCGGGATTGACAAGTGCAAAACTTTCTCGGTTAAAAATGGAAAAATTAACCCCAACAGCTATAGCTTAGTAACAGGAGACACGATTGAACCTCTAGAAACCCATGCCTCGTATAAATGCTTAGGTTTCCATCAAGCGCGACAGATCAATTAAAAGGAAACGAAAGAAGGTCTCAAAAAGAAATTTAAACATCGGCTCAATAGTATATTCCGGTCTCAACTCAACTCCCGCAACATGTCAAAAGCAATCAATAGTTACGCAATCCCCCTACAGACATACTCCAGACATACTCGTTTGGTATAATAAACTGGACTCAAGGTGACCTTATCAATCTGCAACGTATTATAAATACCACTGTAACGACTTACTGCAAGCACCACCCTAGATCCTGCGTGCAAAGTATCTTTCAAGATCCGAGGGAGGATGAGCTATAATAGATGTCCTCAACTTGCACAATAAACAAATCAAATCCCTCTGACAATATTTCCATCGACGCTCAGAACACTCACTTCTCCACGAAATAGTAACCTTAGCCGACAAACGCCTCACACCACTTAACCTCGCGGACCAAAAGACACAACGCAGTGAACGGATCGCTGACGTACAAGAGAAGATGGCCTTATGGCAACAGAAGTCCCTACACGGAAGACACTACCACGACCTGCAGCTGTCACATGTCGACAAAAAAGCGTCGAACGCCTGGCTGAGGCGCGGTGAACTCTTCCCAGAGACGGAGGCATTCATGTTAGCGATCCAGGACCAGGTCATCGATACCCGGAACTTCCAGAGATACATAATACGTGCACCCAACCTCCCCACTGATACTTGCAGACATTGTCACTCTAGCCCCGAAAACATACAACACATACCATCCGCCTGTAGAGCCCTTGAACAAACCGACTATTAGCATCGGCATGACCAGGTCGCCTCCATAATACACCAATATCTTGCCCTTAAATTAAATTCATACAAAAAATGACACCATATTACAAATATAAGCCGGACGTCATATTAGAAAACAATAATCATAGAATCTATTGGGACAGGACCATTATCACGGATAAAACTATTCACTTAAATAGGTCCGATATCACAGTGTATGACAAAAATAACAAAAGTACTTACCTTATTGATATTACCATACCAAACATCCATAACATTCAATCCACCTTAGCTGAAAAACTTACAAAATATCAAGATTTAGCTATAGAACTCAAGCGTCAATGGAGAGCAGAAACCATCCATATAGTCCCAATAGTTTTCTCATCTACCGGAGTCATACCCAAAAGTCTACAACGCAGTCTAGATAATTTGCAAGTACCCCAACACACACTTCACACCCTGCAGAATGCTGTCATTCTCAACACCTGCCGACTCACACGCAAATTCCTCACCACGTCATCCGTCACCTCTGCTTACACCATCACCTAGCACCTGCACACGCTTGGCTTCGACCCGTGTGATTAGTTTTTAAGTTACCTCTTTAATATGGAGAATATAGATATATACAAAATAATAATAATAAAGGCATAGGGAAGTGACGACCCCATCGCCCGCTGACGTAACAGTTAAGTGACAAAACTGCTACGTCGGCGCAGTCAGTCAGCGTCTTGCCAAGAGGTGTGAGCGCCGTGCCTCGGCAGTACTGAGGGTGCAAAGTCCCGTTTGTGTTTACGGCCGTACAATGATACAATAAAACGGTGCCGGGCCTGGGCGTCTCCCGTTAATTGGCGTCCAAAAATGGATGATGGATTATAATAGACAATGTAAAGGGCCGCTGCCTGGGGGTCGCTGGGGCGTGTCAGGAGCTAGCGCTGGACGCGCCAGCATGCGGGCCGCCAGCCGAGCACGAGGAGCTGCAAGATCACCTAGCAGCCCCCCGCATCCATTATCCCCACCAGATGGCTTGATGTCGGCAGGGTCCTCTCGAACTCTGCAAGCGGCATCCGCCGCTGATGGAGTGATGAGGACAAAAAATATGAACGCAAACGTATTGCGGGTGTATTATAAGGCGAAAGGGGAAGAAACTGCAGGGATAGCGTATTGGGCTCGGATGCATTGCTTTTTTGCTGAGCTGAGCTTGAGCCGTCTCTTCCCGCCACGGAACAAAACCTGGCAGACCGTGTTCGGTAAATCATGCGCTCGAAAATATTTGATGATGCTGAGCTCGAATGACTACGACGTGAGGCCATTCCCTCATCGAATGAATCGGCTATGGCTGGAGATGTGGCTCCTCAGGTGACAGACTAGCATCCACACTTGGAAGCCGCCATGGATCTTCTAGTTGTGGTTGATTCGGACGATGATAAAATGGTCTCCCACGAACTAGAGCAAATGAGGAGTAAATTGGAAGAGGCGATTTTGAAAACGCGCAGCATGCCTTTCGAAAATCGACCGCGACTTCTTCGCATACCCATAAGCGGGCAAAATCGATCCGTCGTGAGGTCTCTTAACCCAATGCTGGTGACCTATTTGGAAGCCAGCCAGGACCTTTGCGAAACTGACTTAATTCTTTTTGGCGCCGCAGTGGCAGTTTGCCGTATTAAATGCGCCAAACTTCCCATGGCTGGATGCGCTACTAAACAAAGTAGAGCCATCCCAGCCTGAAGAAAAAGAATTGAGGACCGTATCGCAAAGGCAAGGGCCCTTATTGGCAGACTGACGAGCTTCAGGTCGGGTAATAATAGACCGAGGGTTGTGCGCACCGTTAGAATGGCGTTTGCTGGGACAAATATCAATTTGTACTAGCTGGGTATCACGCAGAAACCAACGGAGCGCATAGACAACCTGCAGCAAAAAACTGCTACTTGAGAAAAGTAGATTCGACTATTTACCGAGAGGTCAAGGTGGTTCTAACAGAATCGTCTCTTCCAGAGTGATCAGAAGAGGCTCTATAAATCATTGGAGCGACCAGGGTATACCCATATGGAACGGGCCCAGCCTTTCTCGGGCAAAATATGGGGCAGTGGAGTACGATCCTTTGTCATCTGGGCGAGCGGATGACGGCTGCGAAGCCGTGAAAGTCGCATAAGGATAAGAAGGGGTATCTTACAAGGCGATTGTCTGAGTCCAACTTAGAAAGCAGTTCTATTGGAATGGAGCTGAGGACGGATAAGTGTACGGTCCTTCATGTTGAAAGGGGAAGGGTTGCTAGCTCTGAGGGCATAGGACTTATCTATGCACATCAAATTAGGGACCCTTTCCGAGGCTGAAACATACCAATACCTGGGTATGTCACAGAACGTCGGTATCGATGTGGCTGGTATGAAACCGTCAGTTTATGATGACGTGTTTTAGGCACGATTGACCAAAGTGCTTAACAGTCTTTTGTCTGGTGTGCATAAGACATACGCATATAACGGTTGGATCATGCTTGTCCTTTGGTATTCTCAGGTGGACTCAGACTGCACTTAAGGCCCGGGATAGAAAAGTCCGCACTACCATGACATCCCATAGAATGCATCATCCGAGATCGTCGGTAATGAGGCCGTACTTGCCGCGAAAGAATGGTGGGCGTGGCTATATAAGCGAGCTCACCATGAATAATCGCGAAGTGTGCAGCCTCCGTCATTACTTTCTGGCGAGATCGGATCTATTTTATAATGACGTCATTTCTAGTAATTAAGGGCTTATCTTTCTATCCTTAGCCAACGAGCAATGGCAGGAACCAGCAGTACATTTCGTAGAGACCGTATGGAAGGAGAAGGAGTTCCACGGAGATACTACAGGGCTCTATATGAGCCTTTCGCAGATACAGTTGCCTCTCTCAACTGACTACGTTTTGGTGACCTCTTCGGAGAAACCGAGGGGTTTGTCTGTGCAATACAGGACCAGGTTATTAAGACCAATAACTATCGGAGATACATCCTAAAGGATGGCACCGTCGACGTCTGTCTAGTTTGTTGCCATCCCGGGGAGTCACTTAGGCATATCATCTCCGGTTGTTCGGCGCTTTCTAACTCTGAGTTCTTGCACAGGCACAACCTAGTAGTCTTCTACACCAGGAGCTCGCTCTGAAATACGGTCTTGTGGACCGGAATTTGCCGTATTGCAAGTACTTTCCAGAAACAGTGCTCAAAAATGATCGCGCCAGGCTCTACAGGAACCAGGTCATCATCACGGACAGGATTATTCTTGCGAATGAGCCTAATATTGTGTTGATAGACCGGGCACAATCAAGGATATTTTTGTTCGATATTACCATGCCGTATGAGGAGAACCTCGTAGAAGCTGAAACAGATAAGCAAACAAAATATCTGGACCTGGCTCACGAGGTGACCGACATGTGGGATGGTCTGCCGACCGAAAATATTCCTGTAGTCGTTTCTGACGAGTTAAACCCATTCAGCCTCTCAGGTCATCTGAGGCGGTTAGGACTCCGTGACGGACCGCTTCAGGCTCAAATGCAGAAGGCGGTGCTCCTCGATACCGCCCGCATCGTCCTCCGGTTTTTTTCCTTTCCTCCTAACCCTCGGCCGTTTGGTCTCTCCTGCCAAGAGCCTCCATCTGTTCGGGATTTTATTTATTTGCGTATTATTTATTTATTTATTTTAGAATATTATAATAATAATAATAATAATATTCCACAACTATCACACAACGCCATCTAGTCCCAAGCTAAGCAGAGCTTGTGTTATGGGTACTAGACAACTGATAAACATACTTATATATTTCTAAATACATGAATATTATAGATAAATTACACCCAGACACAGAACAAATGATCGTGCTCATCACATAAACATTTGTCCTGGGTGGGAATCGAACCCACGACCTCCGGCATAGCAGTCAGGGTCACTAACCACTACACCAACAGGCCTGTATTAAATATATATTTATGTATATTTATCATTTTCTTTTATATATTTACATCGATGGAGAGAGACACTGGCTAGATAAACTAGCTAACTAATCTAAAACAAAATGCGAGAGTACCACTCTCACAGAGCCAACTAAATAAACCTAATTTAAACTACTAATCTAGCCTAGAAAGGCAATTCGAAACTGTTGATTGGACAAGGGGCATAGACGGGAGATTTGACCCGGCCGTAGTCTTAACGCGAACAACCCTAAATACCCCATAGGATCCGGGAAAAACCTCTTCGACGATGCCCAGTGCCAATGAAGAGGTGGCGTATTTTCTTTGGTGAGAACAACCACCGTTCCAACCGTTGTACCTCCCCCAAGTAATGCCACAAAGCACGGTCCTGAGCCACCTGCATCCGTCGACTTGATGTCATGTCTTACCAGGTCGTCACTCCATCTATGGGGGGGGGTCGCCCTACACTTTGCCTACCGGTACGAGGATGCCACTCGAGAACATCTCTTCCCCATCGGTTCGGTTATCGTTTCTTCGAGCTATATGGCCGGCCCATTGCCACTTCTGCTTACTAATCCGTTGGGCTATGTCGGTTACTCTGGTTTTACTGCGGACATCCTCATTTCTGAGTCTATCACGCAGAGAAACTCCGAGCATAGCCCTCTCCATAGCTCGCTGAGCGACCTTGAGCGTCCTCATACGGCCAGCAGTGAAGGACCACGTCTCAGATCCGTAAGTCATCACTGGCAACACGCACTGGTTGTGCAATCTAGTTTTCAGAGTTTGAGGTATACCTGAAGAGAAGATGTGACGTAATTTCCCGAACGCTGCCCAGCCGAGTTGAATCCGTCGATTGACCTCTCAGTTGAAGTTGGACTTACCCTACGGACTATTTGTCCCAGGTAAACGTACTCGTCAACAACTTTGAGCAAAGTGCTCCCGACAACTACAAGCATAGGTGTGACATGGACATTAAACATGATCTTTGTTTTGTCCATGTTCATCTTAAGTTCAGTAAGTTCCTCAAGTATCCGTTGGGAGACACCATTGAGGTCATTGAGCATAGTGCTTAGGTCCTCCAGCGATTCTGCCATAAGGACTATATCGTCGGCAAATCGAAGGTGAGTGATGTTTTTTTTTATAGAGGTGGGGGCAAACGAGCATGAGGCTCACCTGATGTTAAGTGACTACCGCCGCCCATGATCAACCGCAACACCAGGGGACTTTCAGGTGCGTAGCCGGCCCTTTAGAAAGGAGTAAGCTCTTTTTCTTGAAAGTCCCCAGGTCGTATCGGTCCGGAAAAATCGCCGGTGGTAAACTATTCCACAGAGAGGTCGTACGCGAAAGAAAACTTCTTTTGAAACGTACAGTGGTGGACCGCCAAGCATCCAGATGGTGTGGATGGTATCGGGACGTTTGCCGCGTAGTGCGTTCACGAAATTTGGTGGCTGGAATTAATCCGAACAATTCCTCAGAGCACTCCTCATGGTATATGCGAAGGAAAATGCAAAGAGATGTAACATCTCTTCGAAGCGCCAGTGAATCGAGCCGATCGGATTGGTGTCGACGACCAATCCGATCGGCTCGAAGTGGTCGAGCCGCTCTGCGCTGGATGCGGTCAAGTGGAAGGAGCTGGTACTGGAGAGCCCCAGCCCAGAGATGGGAACAGTATTCCATATGTGGTCGAACTGCGCCTTATAAAGTTGCGGGCGGTGTGTCGGCATGAAATACAGTCCCGCTCTGCTGAGCACGCCAAGCTTTTTAGAGGCCAATTTGGCCTTCTCCTCCAAGTGACCACGAAACTGCACGGCACTCGATATGTTGACGCCGAGGATTCCAATACTGGATGAGGCAACAAGAGGGGTACCTTGGAACTGAGGATATACGACAAAGGTGTTATTTTTAGTGGTTAATGCGCAAACTTGTGTTTTCTGAGGGTTATGTGTAAACTGGACTAGATTTAGTTGCCCCCAATCCGCGACTCTATTCAGCAAAGACTTGAATTCAGACACAAGTTTGTCCCGATACTCGGAGACGTTTTCTCGAGAAAAAAAGAATCGCCGTTGATGTTAATACCGTATCCTTTCCAGTCCAGTGGCTTGAAAACGTCTTTCAATGCAGCGGTGAAGAGTTTCGGGGATATAACGTCATCCTGTCTTATACCTCTCTGCAGTTGGATAGGTTTCGAACTCTGGTTCTGTACTCGGATAGCCATCGTAGCCCTACTGTACAAATACTTCATCACCTCGATATACCGACAGTCAACTTGGCACCGCTGAAGGGACTGTAGCACCACCCAAATTTCGACATAATCAAAGGCTTTCTCATATTCCACATACGCCAGGCAAAGTGGCAGATTATACTCTTCGGTACACTGTTTTTAATAAACTATTTTTATTTTGTATGGATACATTATATTCTCGTGAATATGTAAGTTACGTTACACTAAATCAGTTGGAGAAGTTTAATCTGTACGCTCGGCAGTGGTGTTAGTTGATCCTCTACCCCTAGTTCCAACAAAACCGCAATTCTACTAATCTTGAAAGTACCCCAACTATTCGGGATGAAGTTAACCCGATCCTGATAACTCGTCGACATAAGCTTCAACTTCAATTATATTAAACTTAGCGGTGGCGTTGATGTTAATACCGCAGCACACACAGTTAACAAAATTTTGATTGGTATGTACAGAAAAATAAATTGGGAAGAAAATTAAGTTATATAGTTAGGGAATTTGTTCAACAATGCGTATCTTTTTGAATTAAATATTTAAAAATTTTGAGTAATA